GTGGCAAAGTCGAGGGGAAGGATAAGACGTGTTATTTTCACACTACACAAACACGCACATACATACATACATACATACATACATACGTACACAGGTATGTGTGTATGCACAGCATAGGAAGGCTACGCATTCTTCGTGCTATCTAGTATATCATGCACTGTTGCGACAGCCCTGCTGTGCACTGCTTGGCAAACCCAAGGCAATGAAGCCATGCCTTGGAGTGGAGTGTATGCTCCGCATGTGTAAACACGCATAGAGAACCATTATCAGCAAGGATGGTTCTATCATGCATAATACTAGCAGACTCGCATTACCATGTGCCGCCGTGTCATTTTAGGTAGTGTTGCCGATGTGACTGCAACGTGAAGTCCCAAACTAGTCAGCTGCAAACTTGCGATGATCCAGGCACACCCTGCGTTCCACCAAACTGCTCCGATACACTGATGGATACTCCATGCCACCAGGCAGGAGTATCAATACGAGAACCCCAGCAGAACTTCGACCCGAGCCCTGTAGCCCTGGAGCTTGCTTGAAGCCCTAGCCCTAACGCGTCCAAATGGAAACATCTCGGAATCTGGCTGGACGCTTGGATTGAACCAGCCTCCAGGCTTCTCGTAGCTCGAAGCCTTGATGTTTCCCCTACCCTGCTCTCGCAAGGAAGAGCTCGGCTTTGGGGTTGGAGACAACGGTATGACTCGACCCAAGACGAATGCTAGTAGTGAAGGGCCGAGATGCCCAATCAATCTATACCAACGTCTGCACATGGCCGTAGTAGGAAGATCTGCAGGGCCCTTTCCGCCACTTTCTCACGAAACACAGACGTTCGAGAGGACATCAAGTACTGTCTGCAAGAAAACTGACGATCAAGCCCTTTTCGCGTGGCAATGCTCAGGCCCGTGCGCTTCTTGAGCACCAAATAGGCGAGCACTATTGAAACCTCGCCCAGAGCATCCTAAAAGGCATGCGGAATACACTCAATGCTAAGACCAATAACAACAATGACAGAAATTCCCATGGGAATACTATTCGTCCTGTGGCTTGGAGCTGTATGGGATGCTACAGGTGTTACCAAATGGAACCATTTGCTTCCTGATCCGATACATACACTTGAGGATGGGGGGGGTCTGATTCTCTGGTACTGTAGCCATAGGACATAGGCTCGCATTTTATGTATACAGATATATACATACACACATGACACCTTGTATTGACATATCACCATACCTATATATGACAAGGTATACGTATCTAAGATCTAATACTTTTCTGGTATGCATGGTATATTGCTAGATGCTCGCTGTGCACACACACACACACATCAACACACACACACACAACCACACACGCACACTCGCGAAGAAACAGCGCAGCGAACCATGAGAACTCAGATTCTCAACTGGGCCCTACACAGATCTGCTAGCACCCTGGCGGCAGTGCACGAGGCAACGCCCCTGGTGATGCTGCACCTGATACAGCCGTGGACAAGCAAGTTTCCGAGTTGTCGCTGTGGGTTAGGGCTTACCACGCGATTAGGGTTTACCCCCCGTCCCACCAATAATAAATTGAATCGCGGCAGCCTATCTTACGCCGGTAAATGCTTGGCTGTAGCCCTGATGCTAGTTCAGAAGAGAATGCATCATTCATGGTGTCGTAAGTAAGATTGAATACCAGGCCCCACAAGGCGTCTGCTTGGGAATCAAACAATGAGAGCCATGCCTGCCCGAGACATCTCGTGTTTGATACCGGCTCACCAATCTCAGTTTTCCAAAGCGTCACAAGCTTGTTACTTTTGCTCGGGCTGGAGACAGCAGTTTTCTTCGAGTCTGTGCCTCGTCCAGGAAATCAAAAGCTGCACTCAAGCGCGTGGACAGCTCCTCATCACGGCTGTCCTGTGGAATCTGGGAGTTTGAGCATGTCAGGCTCCGCAACCTCTGCTACATTTCATGTTGAATACAAGTCGGGCGAGAGCCACGGACCCTACAGACCTGCCCTGCACCCTCGGATCCTGGATATCTTCGCAAGCAAGGCACCAAACGCCAGTTGGAGTCCGAGAACACTTCAGATGACTAGGGTACACTTCTCATAGACAAGGACCTTGTGCAGGAGCCGGGTCGCTGGACTCTGGACTCTGTGCATCCTATTTCCAGAAGCTCCAAGGCGATCTCCAACTTACAACCGTATCCTGGGGTCGAAATTGCCAGGTGTCGACATCCATATTTGCCTGCGGAATTCCGTAGCGTATAACTCGACGTTGAGGTTGTTTGGGACTTCCACTTCCCCACGACTTGAGGGTGACCCGGCCTTCAAATGGATCCGCTTGTTTCGCGTGTGAGACATGTAGAAAGGTAGCCGCCTCAGCAGTAGTCCCCACAGCAGGAACAGAGCAAAATTTTCAGCCTTCCTCTCTGGGCCCGTGGCTCTGAGCAGTTGAGGATATGGGTGATACCATTCCTTGTCTGTGCGGCGGGCTGCTTCGTGTAGGCTGCTACGTGTAGGGCTATTTAGGCTCTGATTCCTCTCGGCTTGAGAGCTCCTTTGCCCCTACGATATCAGAGGATTGAGCACTCTCTTTCGCCTTCAGCATGTCAGCACAAGTGTTACGCAACCCTAACCCAGAAATCCTAAACCCAAAGCTCCTCCGAGCAATGGAGCAGGAAATGGTGGAACCTCCTGGAAGCACCAGGCTCCAACTCACAGCTTTACGGTACGGAATGTCTGCATCCTAGTTGAGCTCCATGGCCCAAAGATGGTTTATCTTCTCAGTTTGACATGCTCGTATGATAGATAGATAGATAGATATAAAAAACAGATGAATACATGTACATATACACATGTACGCAGTTGATCTACTCATATACCCACCCGAGAACGGTAAAGGTTGCCTAGTCATCTGAGTCAAGGCCCGTTGGACCTTGCAGTCGAGTTGCTGCCGGATTTCGATCCCGTTGGCGGCCGCACGGTCGCCACCTATGAAAAGCCTTAGCCGCAGGATGGAGAAGAGCCGAGGCACTGTTCGAGACATGTCGATGCTTGGGGAGCATTGAATCACAGAGCGGGAATTTCAGTGCCGCAGTCGTTTGGATCCCGGGCCATTCGAGCACTTTGGAGGCGCTGGCGCCTTTCTCCCCAAGCCTGGCACAGCGGGGTGCAGGAGCTTCCGCAGCCAAAGAAGGCAGACTCCGCGAAGCTCAAAACCCTGTGTAGTTAAAGCTTCTGGCTCCTGATTCCAAGAATGCGCCAGAACAAGCATGAACAAGCCAAGGTAGCCCCGTCGCTGCTGTGCCATAGCGAAGCCACTGTAGAAGGCCTCCCAAACGCGCAGTTCCGACTCCGAACCAGGCGTATTTGTAAATTTGACGAGAACGTTTCTGACGATCTTCTCAGCCCGTCTCAGCATGCACCTGAATGAGTTGAGTGCCGGCTTTCTGGCCCGGACTTCCTGCGCCAACATCTAAGCTGCACGGACACGACTTTTTCGGATCTACCGATGCTCGGATGAAAAATCTCGGATTTTCAAGGCTCAGAGCTCCGATTCTAGCTAACCCGTCTCGTCAGAGCCTCCGCGACTTCGCCACCACGCGATCGCCACCAAGGCCTGCAACTCGAGGCCCGACTCGGAGTTGGGAGTCGAAATCAGGCAGGATCGCTGAGGCGCCGTCCAGTCCGGTAAAGAGCGCTCCGGTCGTCGCGCTGTCTATGACCTTGGGGCTCTGCGGGGTCACACCGGAATCAAAGCCTCACAGGCGCACGACGGACGTGACGCGACATTACAACTTTCCGAAGCTCCAGGAGTAGAGCTGAGTTTCTGGATTCAACAGCTCTCGCAAAGGAGCCCTGCTAGGCACCGCAAGGAATGCCGAGGGCCTTTTCTGAGGGCCTCGCAGGCCGCAAGGCAAAAGCAATGAGGCGACCTTATACATCGGTGGGAGACCCGACTCCAACTTACACTCAGAAGCCTTGTTGCAGACAGGAATGAGGCCTTCTTAAACAGCTTGCGAAAACAAAGGGCTGCTCCCTCGCACGTTTCAATGTGGACTGGCTCTACGCTTCCTCAACTGGCTTTAGGTGATGCTGATCTGCACCGACGAAGGAAGATCGACTGCCGTGATGCATTCGAATTTCGAACCCGCCAAGCCCCCGGTTCCACAAGTAACTTTCCAGACGGACTTTACAAACAACAACACACTTTTCAAGAGCCGAGGGTGGCCACGATTTCTGCTGCCTGAAAAAGGAGGGACCACAAAAACTATAAGGCATAATCGGCCAGCTGCGCCCGTCTCCCCGAAGCCGTTAAACAACCGGAAATTCTGAAACCCGAACTAGAGGCTCTAAATCCTCAGGTTGGCATCTTGCAAACCAAACGCCTTAAATCCTGAAATTTATTGGCGCGAAAGCCTCCGCCTCAATCCTTAAACTCCATACCCACTGGGCCATCCGGCCCAGCGACGCCGTGCGGCGCCGGAGGGCCATGGCTGCGACAACGAGGCGCACCTGGAGCCAGCAGAGAACTGCAAAGGAGAAGCCCGGGTGCCCGACATAGAGTTTAGAAGGTTTGGGGGTTTTAGCCTTGTGTTCCTGGCAGCTTCGGGGATGGAGCCGTTGCACTCTAAATTTAGGGAAAGCTTGACATGCTTTAGTAGGGCCGGGAAAGCCCTCAACCCTCGCATCCCTTCCCTCACAGACACGCAAGAAGCTGCGCCTCCACCTCCGCCATTGTTGGCGCGAGACTGAGCCCAGAGCCAGCAATGTTGCCACGGAGACACAAGCTTAGCCAGGCTGTATGTATCGAAATTATTTGCAACAGCACCAGGTACGGTCGCGGCCCAGCTGAAGTCATGCGATGTTCTCTTCGTGCGTGGGTGTGCGCCATGGCCGTATTGATACTCAGTATTGACACCACCCTAGTGCTCGTGAGCTTCGCACGATGGCTGCCATGGTTGCCATCGCACAAAACTGAAACATCATGATGCCACAAAAGACATGCGCCGCTCATGCCTCATCTCACGAACGGAAGGAGAAGTGCGCAGTAACGCAATCACACCTTGCTGTAAGTTCAAACATGTGTGTGCACGTAGTGCTTGATGGGTCTGCACTTTCCATGGCCCAACAAGAAGGGGCAACCCCAATCCCAACTTGTCAACGAGCCCGAGTGTCTCGCTAGGACCCCAAGAGATGCTTAGAGCGAAACACATAAGAGGCTTAGTCCATGACGCCCTCTTTTTGCTGAACTTCGCTTTGCTCGATCAGCCCGTCCATCTCGGAGCGCCTCTTCCTGAAGAGCCCATGTATTTCTTAGGGTTGCGGATGTGGTGGGTTGGGGACCGCGGAAGTCAGGGTGACGTAGCAGCGTAATCTAAGTGCCTGGTGGAAGACTTTCAGTACAAAGACTGAGATACGTACTAAAAGCTTTGGGCGGTTTGTGCTGCGACGTAGTCTGAGGATGCGTGTCAGCACGACAGTAAGCCGTCATCACCGAAGCTACGGGGCCGAAGTTCGCAGCAATTGTGGCAGCTCCTGCAAGGTCTGTCTACCTTACGGTAAACTTTGCATTCTCAGCTCTCTCTCTCTCTCTCGCGCTCGTTTCTTGTTGTGGTCTTTCCGTTCCAATGACATTCAGGCCCCTGCGTGACTGGGAATCCTCACGCACACACACACACACATGCTGCGCATCCAGGCTGTCTTGCCCCTAAACCCTGAACTCGCTCTGTCGCTCGCTGCCCCTCCACGCCACGCTTGCAGAATCCTCCAGAAACTCGGGGACCCTTTCTCCATCTCTCGAGCCTTTACCACTCAGAGCCCTGCCTTGCTCAGACGTGCTCCGGAACCTGACCATGTACAGAAATATGCGTTTGTGTGTATATATATATACATGTATATATATATATGTATATTTATATGCATTTATTTATCCACATTTGTGTTATTTACGTATAGGAATGGGTGTTGGTATGGGCATGGCTGAGGCAGCCATGTGCATGAGCATCCGCATGTGTAGGTGTCTGTGCTTGCTGTAATCTTTCGATTGTTCATTCATTTCTCTACGCGACTCTGCTCCTATGAAGTGGCTGCTTACCTTGTCATCCTTCACGCGAGGTCTTGTGGCTCCCGTAGTGCCTCTGAAGCTAAAGAGGAAACCGGGGGCCGTCCTGGAAGGAGCTCACGAAGTAGCAGGTCTCGAAGCACAAGGCGCCGGCCAGGGCCACCCAGGCGGTATATGGAAAGAGTAAGACCTGGCTTTTTAAAGGGGCCCGGGCTTTTTTGGGCACAGAAATTTCTGGGATTCCTGCAGTTGTTGGGTTAGGGCTTGTGGGGCTTTGGATTTTTAGAGTCCTTAGAGCTATCAGTAACCGGAGAAGGTTCCCGAAAAGCCATGCAAGTTCCTCCCAAAGGGGTGCTCTGACTTCAACCCATGGCCCTCCTGAAAATTCTGCAAACCGTCAACAGCCGACCCCAAAAGGCTCCACCGACCAGAAGCCCAAAATTCACCAGTGCTGCGGCAGCGGCCCAACTTGCATCTTTGAAGATCCAGCACCTTGTTTCCATGGTGTCTGGCACACCCAGACATGCAACAGCTACTGCAGCCTAGGCACAGCAATGCATAGTTTTCCTTGGTGAAATCTTGTGGGATTAAGTGCCATCTTCACGAACTCTGCAGAGTCGAGATGCTACTGGTTCGTAACGTCGCAGTATGCTTGCGGTGAGGCTCACAGTATCTCAAAGTACACGTAAGTTTCCGTTCATTCTGCAGCTTGTAGTTTGCGTTGCACATGCTGCCCAGCGACAAGCCGTGCAACCATCCTCAGCCCAATCAAGAAGCCCTTGCAAGCCATCGGCACTCCGTTTGCCGCCCACTCTCCTTTCTGTCTCTCTCCGGGCATGCGGATGCTTGACGCACAGAGACGCCGAAGATCTCACCAGATCATTGCGGATCTAACCAAGACCGAGGCAGCCGAGGCACACTGCATTTGCCGTAGGACGCGGCAGAGGAATAAAAAAAACTCGACGAAATCTATGGACTTCCCCTTCTACTCCCGTTCGGCTCCCTTTTGGCCCACGGTGGAGAGCGCCGGGCCGGAGCCACTGCTGCGGATGAAGGAGGCTCCAGGAACAAATCACTCAAAGCAATCAAAGCTGGGATCCCCTATCGAAGCCTCTGCAAAAACTTCAACCCTTGGAGCCCCGTTGGGCCGGGAAGGCCATGCGTCTACTAACGCGTCCCCCCCTTTGTATCGAATTCTGGGACAAATGTTTTTAAAACAAGGCTCAGATAGTACTTGACAGTAGCTATTGCCAGAGGACCGCAGCTCTCTGTGGAAGGCTCTTTTGGCCTCAATTATTGAGGGACCATAGAATAAACACTAAATAGCAAGACCCCTATAGCTCATCATAATGAGGACCGCAAAACTAACAGTTTCTAAAAAGGCCCCTTATTGTAAGGACGCCAAAAGTATGGGTACAAGGCCTCACACAGACCAGGGATCCCTGAGTGTAGAACAAAACCCAAAGAAACTCCGAAGTTAGAACCCCTTTAAAGCGCTTGCACAACAGTGACTTCCAGTAGATGCTGGACCGCAACATCCCTCTTGACCTTCTTTTTGTTTTAAGGACCTCCAAAACAAAGCAATAATAAGGACCCTATAAATCCTAAACCTGAATAAGTAGTAATCAAAAGCCTCCTGGTAATCCCCAGGCGCTATGTATTTCTGCTACACTTGAAACGGTCTCGTGCATCAGGGCCCCAGGCGACGCTTCGTCTTTGTGACCCGCGACGGTCAACTGCGGGGTGGGTGCTTTCTTCTTGCACCAATATTTTGAAATTTTCTGTACGGAACATACAGCCGTGACAGTGATTTCAGGGTTTGTAACGGCTGTACAGGGTTGACCAGCGCACAGCTTCGAACTGTGGGGAGGAATGCAAGGTGGGTATGTCGGATGACCCGTTCGAGTACGGCACAGAGTTCGAAACGACTGAGAGGCCATCGTATCCTCAACAAAAACCCCTCCGCGTCAAGACTTGCCCAGGATCCTGCCGAGTTGCATTCTCCCTTGATGCCCATGATGCTTGCACGGGAGTGCCTCGCGGCACGTGGGGAGATGCACAGGGCCGAGGAAGCTTGGCAGAGGCTCTGTCTGGTGCCAAGATCCGCGAGCTCGAAGCTGAAGGCCCCGGAATGCACAAGCAATGCGCCTGGCTTTGGGTGCTGTCGCCTGGAGCTGGACACACGGATCAGGGACAGGCTGGGAGGGCTGTGGACACGACGACGTCAAAGCACATTTAGCTCCATTTGCCAACAGGTTTACGGAGATATGGCGAAGGTAACTCACGGCTCGCTGAATGCTGCAGTGCTGAGTTCCCCGACAGAAGTGGAGGCAGAAGCCAAGCTGCTTCTTCGTCTTGCAGCAATGTCCTCGCGGTGGAGACACAAGCTTGGAATCTGAATGCCGTCGAATAAACGGTCTTGAGCCCTAAACCCTAAGCTCGCATCTTGTGCACAAGACCCGCCATGCGTCACAGAACATCCCAACTGAGCTGAGCTCGGAGCCTCCCACTCGTCGCCGTCTTCCGGCGTTGCTTACGGCTTCCAGGAGGCCTGTGCCACGCAACAGCATCTGTGTCTGCCCCTCCAGAGGCCAGTTCTGGCCGCTTGGGCAGCGCTTTGTCCCAAGTCTGTCTTTCTCGGGCTTTGTTGGGGGGGGGGGGGGGNNGACGACGTCTTTCCACTTTGCTTTGCAAGAGCTTCGTCTACGCATGCCAGCCTACGCCAACTCGGATCCTGGAGTCACCTAGTGCACCCGCGAGGTCCTGTCTTACTGCCCGAGGTCCCCGCGCAACACCCGGCCTCGCTGAAGTCCGAAGAAGCCGTCTGCTTTCGAAGAGTCTGGCAGGAGCAGCTG